TCACACCGAACTTCCACGTGTGGGGTATATTTTTGTTTTGTACAGTAGAACCCCCATTATCCGAATCAGTTCGACCTTGTGCGTTCCATGTCTTGCCACAGTTTTGTACTCGCGTTATCGATTCGTCGAGCCTTACACGCTTCTTATAGTTTTTAATCGATTGTATAAAGACTGGACACTTCTCGTTCGCTGTACGGTTTTACACCCTTGCACCGCTGCTACACGTTTCTAACATTTTTAACGAAGAAACTCTTATTTTCCGATACCGTCGCTTTTTGTAATGATTCTTCTCGTTCCGCGTCGAACCTTATAATATTTACCTTTTACTTCCGAGGATACGCCGATCAACGGAAGCTCGTAGAATGGAGGTTCTACTGTACTCTAGTAATCCTTCCCTGATACACAGACACCCCAGCTGCTGGGCGAGCGAACGCCGCGCACTAGCTGGAACTAAAAAAATCGTACTCGTTATTTTCTTCCTCCTTTATGTTTGTTTGTTTGTCTTTTTTTTTGTACACTTAAGATTGGCAATCGACTAAGAGCATATTTTCGCGCACCTGCCTTGCAGCAGAAAATGGGAAAAAAAGGAAAAAAGAAATGAGAGGATATAGACAGTTTTATTACTGCGTTCACGTGTAGCCGTTTAGCGTATCTTGTACACGTACAGTGGATAGTGCTGCCGATCGATCCGATTCTGTTCAGATCCGGTTCGCTGTCTGTGTATGCCAGCAGCAACAGATGGGTCTAAAATAAATATTTCGTAAACATTTACCATAGCCTACCGTTTTCTCCTACTCATTGTGAATTCTCTGCGAACCGAGAAATTCGTTTCTCTCTTTCGTTCTTTTTCTCTTTCGTGCTCTCTTCTCTTTTTCTCCGCCTTTCGTTCTTTCCCCTTTTCATCGTTTCCTCTTCGAATTTAATTCTCTCCATAATATTTACGTTACCACGAGCGTGCGTCAAACGCGCGCACACACACACGTGTCGGTTTCGCTGGATCTCTTCGTCTCGCTGTTCTACGCCTTCATTTTCGTTTCTTCTCTTCTTCTTCTCTTTCTTTTTTTAATCACTGTTTCAGCAAACAGGGCAACCCCTGACACGCAAAAACTCGAACCAAGGTGTATCGTTATTCTCGTTCGCATGATCGTTTTTATCTTTATTTTCATAACGTTTACCTACTGGGTCCATTGTTCTGCCCGCTGCATGATCAGAAAACTAATCGGTAATGTACATAAGCCGGACGCGATGGGGGAAAACCGGCAGCGGTTCAGTTGCTGGAGGCAGGTAAGTGGACAAAGGCATTTCGGCTATTCGCTTTCACGCTTTGTAATTACGCTCGCTGTTGATTGTACGACACGCTGTCACGTGTACAGGGTGGCCCCAGGTATAAGCTCGAGGAAAGCCGCTTTAAGACCCCTTCCGTCCATCGCTCTGATTTTTATCGTTAATCCCTCCCTCGGATAATCGCAGTTTCTACGGATCGTGCTCTAATTCAAAGGACCTCTTATTCGTCAGACCTCTTATTCATTCCAACATTCTAAATCCTCGTCTCGCCGAAGAGGCCTCAGTTATCGGAATCACTTCACGGAGACACCCCGCCGAAGAGTTTCCATTTCAACCGATCGTACAGGGTCTTCATGTTGCTGTTAGTATTTCATGAAATATGAACACCCTGTACACGCATTCAGTCGCGTTCAAGCGACTCGACGATCGCAGCGAAACGAAACGTGTCCTTTCATTCGAGACAACAATAATATTGGAAGTTTAACGTGATTCCCCGGTACTGTCAATGTTTTAGGAGATCATGGATCTCTGCAACGGCCACTGCGGGTCCATGTGCGAGGACTCGGACGAAGACGAGGACTCCAGTCCCACCAATTCCCCGGTGTCGACGCGGAGGATCGTGCCGAGCCCGCCGCTGCCGCCGCGGCGGCCGTCGCCGTCGCCGACGCCGAACAGCCACTCGAGGAGTCGTCATTTAACCGTGCCCAAGGAGAACGCCCCGCCGCCTCCCTCGACCGCCGTTAACGCGGTGTTCAACTCGTGCGCCGACAATCAACTGAACAACAATAGTTAGTACCTGCCGAAGAATCCTGTCGGGAAACGTCAAAGACAACACGAGCATTCACGTACGCTTCTCAAGTGGAATTTGTATTCGTCTTCGTCTGCGGACAACTTCCGGTTTCGTTGCTTGACACATTGCCAGCCGCTGTCGCGCTCGCGTGACTTATTTTCTTAATACCTTCTTTAACACTAGGTTTACGGGCATTTATTGTACACTTGATTCTATTATTCCTAAAAGAATTGACGCTCGTTTGTTTAGATTGTGGAAACTGAAATCATTTGGTGACTTAGAGGCGCCTCTGGAGTTAAGGGTTAAAATTTCGAACGGTGTCTTTTGTCATCTTTGATGGAAATAGTGTTAACCAGTCGATATATAATTCAGCTTCATCTATTGAAGGTTTTGTCTTTCGAAGAATCTTCGTCCGCAAAGGGTTAGCACTAGATTTACGGGCATTTATTGTACACTTGATTCTATTATTCCTAAAAGAATTGACGCTCGTTTATTTGCAAAATAATATTTCTAAAATCCAATATGCGTCGATTTCACGCGTTCCGTGAACCTAGTGTTAATAATAATTATATTGCAACTGTGTTGCGAACAATTGCGCAAATATCACCGTTGGCGAGTAGTAGAACCTGCGTGAATTTCGCCGGCGGCAGCGCAATGGCGATGCGAGAAACGAGCGGCCGGCAAAGTGTTAAAAATCCTTGTGCTTCTTTACTATAGATAACCGGATTGCCAAATTCCGTAGAACGTGGAAACCGGTGAAAGCTGAGAGACTGGATCGTTATAATCTATGAAGAACACAGTTAACCCTCTGTGCTAGACAGTTCGGTGTACGATCGTTAACCGTTTGAGTGCCACTGGTTTTTTATGAGAACCCAGTCGAAAAGTGCCAAGCGGCGCAATGGCGCTTTCGTTCCAGTTCAGAGACTCAATTACGGTTTTCTCTGTTTAAAAACAATTCTGAATAGTGCGAACGTTTCGTTTTCATTTCCAAGCTGGCAACAACAGAAACGAGAACGAATACTTAGAAGGAAGATAGATAAATAAATCTCACTTGATTCTACGAACCGACAGGCACCGTCAGCGTAACGGCGAGGCGCCATCGCGCCGCTTGGCACTCGAACGGTTAGGCTGGTTCCAAGAAGCATCGTCTCTCTCATTAGGGAATGTCGAGCATTTGAGAAAGAAATCCGAGAAACAATCGTGGAAAGGAACCCACCGATTTCACTTGAAAAGCGTACGTTCTGCGTGGTCTCCCGACAAGATTGTTGAAATCGTCGCAACGAGACGAGACGTATGACCAGCGTTCTGTGTTTGCGCTAGTGAACTCCGAGGCAGGGTACGACATGCTGCACCGCGCTTCGTCGCCGTCGCCCGCGCCCCCGATACCGCCCGTGCCGTTTCTAGTGAACAGAGGGCACGTGCGCCGAACCCAAGGGAATCACATATCCGCGGCTGCACAATCGCAGCAGCCGCCAACGTTGCCCGAAAAGCTCAGCCGTTCGAGCGGCGGCGGCAGCGGCGGCGGCGTTGGCGTTGGCGTTGGCGGCGGCGCAGTCGGGTCGTCGACGTCGGGTCAGACGACGTCCAGCAACAGCGTGCCGCCGGTGCCACCGCCTTTATCGGTGCCGCGGCCGCCGAAGTCCGGCAAAGAGCACAATAGACAGGATCACCATTACGAGAACACGATCGTGATACCCGGTACGAGACAGCACGTCGTGAGGAACATTAATCTGGAAGCGAATACGGCACGATTGTCCGCCCTAATGAGAGGTAAGGACGATCCCACCGGTTCTGCTAAGCCAGAATCCGCGGCATACGAGAACGTCAACGTCGAACACATTTCCAAGCTGACGGCTCTCGGATTCGCGCAAGACGCCGTGATTAGAGTGCTCGTTATAACTAGGAACG